TGTGGTATTTTTATACAATGGAGTACTACTCAGCTATACAGAATGATCACATTGAGATATTTATAAATAAATGGGCACAGGTTGAGACCATACTTGTAAGTGAAATAAATCAAACTCCCATGTATGAATACCAAATAGTTTCCCTAGTGTAAGAAATGATAAGAATACATAAAAGTATGTGGTAATCATGATTCCCCATTATGTGGCTTTAAAGCCTTATAAAGTTTTCACTCATTAATTGGAATGGTTTTATTCTGGGCTGTTTGATATTATTGTCTATAATGTTATGAACAGCTATTTTGAAGAGAAGAAAACATAATAGCTAGTGTTGATTTAATATCATCTTGTTTTTGTTATGTTGTTATGTCCTCTTTTATCTCAATCTCCCCCATTTAAAAAATATTTATTTTTTTAATTAAGTGAAAAATTTTAAAAAATTAGCAGGATATATTATAGTAACTTTTTTGATTTCCTGTTAACTTGATTTGAAGCCTTGTGTTGCTCCCCACCCTCTTGTTTTGAGTGATTTACTCTGTTCTGTTATGTTTGATAGTATCAAATTTGAGAGTATAGGCAGCTACTTTGAACGCAATAAGATTCACTATGACGCCCGTCTGGTTTGACTAGTATCTTCTTTTGAAGTCCTGTAATGTCTCCAATGTTTATGTTTTATTGGTCTTGTTCTGTACTGTTTTGTTCAATTTTATTTTACCTAACGATATAGGCAATTCTTTTTAAGGTAGCAAGAAGCGTTATGGTAACCATTGTTGATAACCTTGTATTCTGTTTTTACATCATGTACTATGTATGTCCATCCTTTGTTTTGACTGACTGCTTTGTTTTGTCATATTTGGTTTTATTCTCTTCCAAAGAAAGTAATAAGAACTATGGGAGTAATAAAACCCAAATTGTGTAAATGTTTTTGTAAAAAAAGAGAGGAAAATAAAGTGCTCGAAAGGACACAACTGCAAGTGTGTTTAGGTGTGTAAGATAGATGACCATATTACTAAGTTTTTGTTGGATCATTGAACACAACTGTTTGCAGTATCACTGTTTGAATGTCCACTTTGTATGCTTTAATCCTGTAACTTGAACAATTATTTCTAAGATGACAATATGTAACCTATTAACTAGTGATTTCTTACTGTTTTTTTTTTCAAATTCTGTACTACTTGTACCCTTATACTGTTTTGATTTTTTTCCTTTAAATAAAAATTTTTAAAAAAGAATTCACAGTCCAGTGGCAAATATAAGTATACATTTGAGCTCACCAAAAGCAAAAGAAAAAGTACAACTAACTTTATATTTGGGGAAAGTAAAGATGGTGAGAGACCACTACAGGTAGGGGGAACAGCATGAGCATGTTTGGAAAGTTTAGGATAGGTAAAGTGTGAGGAGGAAAATGAGATGATAAATATTTTTGTAGCGGAAGCGTTATACAGGAGAGTAGTTAAAAGCATATTTCCTTGAGAATCATGAACTTCACTAGAAAAAGTCACTAAGTCTCAATGGACAGTCTCATGGCAAAGACTACTAGGAATCCTATAGAAAGACACGGTGAACTTCAAAGATGTGGTTTACCATGAAACCTTCAAGACATAGGTCAGAAAATAATCCCCAGGACAAACTTTGGACCATCTGTCTCAGACAAATGCAAAATGCTGAAGACTGTTGGATTTAAACTAAACTTAGTGAAATAGAAGCTCAAAGAAAATTGACTCAAATATTTCAGTCTATATGCTGTTAACTTAAATTAGAGTAGCTATCAAGGAATATTTTAGGAAATTAAAATATGTGGCTCACACAAATATAACACTTGCACACCCAAAATTTCTATTTGCTCCAGTAATAGAAAATAAAATAAAATGTTACAATTAGTCCAAGTGGGAATTTGGAGTATGAATATATGAATATGTAGAAAATAAAGAATACCAAAATAAATTCACAAGTATAATCAGAGCTAGTCAATATCAAATGGAAAATAATGCATTCATTGGACAAAATATGCTTATATTTTTATTTTCAAAGAATCACATTATTCACAGTTTGTTCAATTTACAGAGTAGTAAACTAGCTCAAAGAGATTGAAGGGCACTGACAGCTTTGAATTGTATGCTAGACAGAACCCCAAGCAATTTCTTTTTACCCTTTCAAAATCTTTCACACATGTTTTCATATTTTGAAGCTAATCAACAACGATTTTATACCAGTGGTACTTTAAGTGGCTTACCTATCTATCTAATCATTAAATATATATATATATATATATATATATATATATATATATATATATGGCAATGTACATACATAGTTTTGGGATTTGTATTAGAATACTTACAGACCTTTATAGCCACTTATTTCTTTAGAAAGTTAATTATGATCAGCAAATATAATACAAAAGTATTTTGGAAGTTTTTTTGTATATTTTTTGATAAGGCTGGAGACTGAATTTGGAGTCTTGCACATGCTAAGCAACTACTGTACACCTGAACATTTCTCCCAGCTCTTTTTGTGTTTTTTGTTTGTTTGTTTGTTTAACAGAACGTCTCAGTAGGGTTGCCCATCCTGGCCTTGAGTTGCTTTGCTCCTGTGTCAAACTTTTGTTACAGACTTGTGTTGACGTGCTCAACTAGGAAAATTTTAAATAAGAAAACATTTGCCTTCCCTAGATATAAGCAATATTTTCTTAAGAATGAAAAATATATTAGTTTGCCACAAATTTAAACTTATTTTTTCTCAGTGCAGACATACATGTATATGTAACTTTTGTAAATAATTTTGTATATTTTATTAAAAATATATTTTGGAAGAGGCAATGAAAGCTAGCCTAGTGTATCAAAATGCAAGTCTAGTTTAGAAGAATGTTATAGAAATAATGCAATCAGTTTAGTTTTTATGACAGTAAATTGACCAGCAATAATAAGAATTGATGGTAATGTTAATTTTATGAACTATAACTGTCCCTGTTCCTCCAGTCACTTCTGCGTGTCTCCATTATTTGCAAGAGCAATTTCCGACTTTCCCCAACTATGTAGAGCTTCCTTTGCAAACTCACATGTGGCCTGTCCTTAGCATACCACTTCGTTTCCCGAAGGAATTCTAGGCCTCCAATTTTGAATGCACTAAATTCATAGTATCAATTTCTATAAAATTCTTTAAAATCATGGATTTTTATCCTACCTTCTCTTCTATGTAGAAGAGATTAGGTTTCCATTGTTAAAAGTGAATATTCTCTCTACGTATGCTCTTAATAATCCTTAAAATCAAACAATAGAAGACTCCTGTATTATTTCATATAATGACTCCCAAGAAGGGGGATAGCATATTCCAATCCCCAGGACTATATGTTGAAATACCACACCTGTGGATGTGCTGGTATAGAGGACTCTGCATATGTTATTAAGAATTTCAGTAAATCCTTATTAAAATCAGGAGATTACTGGATTATCCAGGTGGGCAGTGTGTAATCACATGAGACTTTAAATCCAGAAGCAAAAGAGAAAGCCAGATAGATTCAAAGAGTGAGAAGTATTTGACATTACTTGCTGAAGTGAAAATGGAGGGGGCATATAAATGTATGGGAAGAAAATGAATTTTGAAGACAGAGATCTTGGAGGAGGACTTCAGGCCTACGTGGAGCCAAAGCCGTGGATGAGATGTTGATTTTACTCTTCTGGGAACCGTGCACGTGATTTAGCTGACCATCCCAGCCCAGACTTCTGACTCAGGGCAACCATGAGATACTTTAATGCTGTTGTAAGCAAGCACGCTTATAGTAATCTGTCATACTAGAGAAGAGAAAAGGGAAATTTCAATTTTGTCTTTATTCAAGTTTACTGTGGTTGTTACTAGGTTGCTTTGGTTTGCAGTTGCATTGAATTTTCATATCAAATCACAACTTAATAAATTCAAAACATTTTAATTGAATGAATTCTAAATAGATCTAAGTTAAATAAGTCTAAAATGTAATATATATTTACAACAAAAATAAATGTTAGTTTCTACCAAAATTCTCTTGCCATATAGATGGGCATTATTTTGAATCTAGTTAAAAATTTGGGAAGAATCAAAACTTAATAACATTGACTGTTACAACTATCCTCTAATTTAGGCTTTTTAAATTTCCATCAGTGATATTTTCTTATCTTCAGATATGGGCCTTGGATATCTTTTTTCCTCTTGTTACACTGAATTCTATGTATTTTATCATCCTCTGTTCTTATTCAAAGTATAATATAATTTCATTTTTCTAATCACCTGATGTTGGGAGGTAGAAATATAATTTATTATTATTTCTCACTTTTAAATGCCATTAGGGAATTCTTTACCGTAATGTATAACCTGTATTTGTAAGGATGGTTAATTAAATACACTCTTTAGCCTTAACTAGTACCCTTTATGGTATGCGTATCCTTTTTACTATTAATTCTGGTTTACTACACATTCAAAAATGCCTGCAGCCTTCAGCTCTAGACTCATAATGGCAGTAGCTTCCACTGAATGATCATTAAATGCTAGGCAATCCTCTGTGGTGCCCATCATGATGTCACCTACTCTTCTAAGAACACTGTATTGGGTCAGAACCTATCCATGTGACTTGTACTAACTTGAAACTTACTAACATCTAAAAAGCCCTTTTTCCATATGCAGATACAATCTAAACTACTGGGGATGGGGTTTAACAAGAATTTTGAGGACTCCACCCATCACAGGGTCCTAGAAGCCTGGATTTAGTGAAGCTTACTTAGAAATTCTGTAAATTATAACATAGGCTGTTTGATGCCTTTGGAGATAATTTGTAAGAATTTTTCATTTCAGGCAATCAAATGTTAACAAATATTAGTCAATATGAATATTTTTAATGACATAAAATTCTATAAATGGAGTTCTTCCCTTTTATGACTGTAATGTGTTTTGATGAAATCCAATTGTCATTTCTAATAATTTACTTGTCATTATTTCAATCGCCTAAAACCACCACCTTGCTCTTTTCCCCACAGGGCTCAAAAAATACATGAAAGACACTGTGAAGAAAAGTTTGTCCTTGAGATGATGGCTTTTTATAAAGCCTCTGAAAGACTTGAAGACGCTAAAGCAAAAGTTGCAACTGTGAAAAAAAAAAATCTGGCATCTTAATTCCCAGCAAAATAACAAAACGAACCATTGCCAAGTAACGTCCAGTGGTCATCTTCAATGTTAGCAATTACTTTTAGAAGAAGGACTAGAAATTAATACTCTAAAGGAAATATGCTACATCACAACATGTGTTTGCATATAAATCTTCTAAAATACAAAGGATAAACTATTTCTTATGTTGGTCGTAATTTAAATAAAGTAGAGTTAGTGTCTCCCAGTGGTGACTTAAATATCCAGATTCCTAAGGAACAAGTAAAACTGATTACATTTGTTGCAGGCAATGCTAGTACAGATACTGCTAATATTGTTTTCCATATCTTCTCAGTGAAGGAATTCACTCTGCCACTATTCCTGACTTTTGAGACATCTCATATTTTGAATCTTTTCATCACTATCTTTCATATCTATTTAATTATATTTTCTGTTTGTTTTATTAAAACTATTTCCAACTTTTTCTCAAAATAAAGTTCTAAACATTGCATTAAAGATTCATGTTTTTTAAAAAAATACAGACAATACAAACTATCCAAACATTCTTATTACCTTCCTTGTAGATTGTAAGATTATTTTTATTTTTACTTTTATGTGTTTGCCTTTTTATTACAGATAGAGAAAGAGAAGAGTCAAAGAGAAATAAGAGAAAATCCATATAACTTGTATTTGTGACTCTGAAGTACAAAAAACTGATTTACTTAATACAGTAGAGAATTTGAAGAATTAAAAAATATTAAAAAGATACAGAATTTGTGTTAATTTTCAATAGTTTTTCTACTAGGCAGTATGATCAATATGTGCAGCTAATGTGTACATTTAAAAAATTAATACATAAAAAGCACAGTGCCATTAATTCCCTTCAAAACGCTTTTCATTGTTTTGGACACACTGATCTCATCATTCTTGTCACTTTCTGCAGCAGTTCTGGCAGCCTTCTTTAGGAAGTGTGTTTAGTAAGCGTGACCAAAACTAGGGTGAATATCTGTCAGGTGCCCCCCACCAGAAAAGCAGGCTCAGAAAAATATCTAACATCGTCAGCCTCGTTCACTCAGGATGACACCATGTGACTTCCGGCTCTTCTATAAAGTCACAGTGACCACGAGAACTAAGTACTGGGTCAATTCATGACATTGAAAAAACCAGGATGTTGGAACAAAAGACATGAGGCAGGACTTCCAGAACTACTTCACAAAGCAGTAAGACTTATGCGATGTGATTGAAGCAAGGAGGGTTATTTTGTGGGGAGAGAAATGCCAAAATATTTTTACTGTAATCATTTTTAAAGCTTAAGCATCCACTGAGGTTTTAGTCATGTACTTTTCTATAGTTGTATCATCATTCACTTCATAAAATATAATTAATGCCGTTCAAAAATTGTCTTTAAGGCCAGGCAAGGTGGTGCATGCCTCTAATCCCAGCGATTTGGAGGCTGAGGCAGGAAGATTGCCATGAGTGTGAGGCCAGCCTGGGCTACAGAGTGAGTTCAAGTCCAGCCTGAACTGTATAGTGAGATCCTGCCTCAAAAAGACACAAAAAAGTTCTCTTTAATACTCACCAGTTGTATATGTACACTTTTAATGTTTCTTTTACTTTAAATTTTTTAAAATGTTATTTATGGTAAATTTCTAAAAAGTGAATATTTCACAACATTGATTGTTCATTTGTGATTCTGTGCTGGATTGAAATCAAATGCTTGTGTTATTTTTCTAATTTCCTATAAATAATAGTGTCCATTAAATTCATTGCACTGGCATGCTAATTAGTTGAAACCTGAACAAGTCATATTGGTATTTCTAATTATTCTGCAAAAAAGAATAGACGATACTGTTCAGTGATACGAAGCATGAGAAACTTCAGTTTGTCATGGTGAGTTAGGTTAAGCTTTCTATTATTCAATAGAAAGCTTCTATTCAATTCAATATTTCTATTTTACTTTTGGAAATAATGAATATATTTAGGAAATTTTCATAGAAATAATAACCCATATTTGATAATGTTATGAAATTTAAATAAGAAAACACATACATAGAGCAGCACAGTATTGTCCACAAATTAATCATTTCATAAAGGTAGTGGTGGTGAAAATCAACTTTTCTGTGCTATTCTTTTTTTTTTTTTTTTTTGCATTTTTACCAGTACCAGGAATCAAACTCACAACTGCCTGCTTGCAAGGCAGGCACTTATGCCGCTGAGCTAAATCCTCAGCCCCTTTTCTGTGCTATTCTAAGAGAACATATTGGTCACTTATGTGAGATTTGAGAAGAATCACCAAGGAATGCTAAGCTTGTTCATATGATACATGTGAAATAAGTTACTTGGTCAATGCATTTACCTAATGCTCCCTGCCCTTTCTCTGTTCTCCAATCCATGCTGTAAATGTTTTATAGATTTTATCACACTATAATCAAACACTGTTTTCCTTCACTCTTAACCCCACAGTAAGCTTCTTGAAGGCAAAGGATATCTTTCTCATCTGTGTCTCTATGCTTCATACTAAAGCAGATCTTATACTCTGAGCTTTTTCTCCTGTTTATATCCCTTACTTATGTACAGTTGTTAACCAGCCTCATGCCATTCATTGCCTTTTACTTTTCATGTTTGAATCCAAATTCTGTATCTCTAGGTTACAACTTCAGTCTGGCTGTATCTCCTGTATTTCCTAGATACAAGGTAGAAATCACTAGGTTGAAGATCTGAAATATTTTTAATATCATTCTCTAAAATGGAATTTATATATTCTTATTTTCCTGCCTTCCCACATCTTGCTTCACCTTCTATATCTTTTAACATTCATAGATGTGTAATGATCTGCATGGTTTCTGGTATTAAAAGCTCTGGAGGTATCTTTCAGTCCCTTCAAGCACCTCATGCTATTGTACTAAACATTGCACCCCGTCAGTTCTAACAGAAGGTCCCTGCTGGAATCTGGCTAGCATTTCACCCATTGCTTTTCTCTTTCTTCAGGGCACAGATAGACTATGTACCACCTTTGCTTGCAGTTAATTGAAGCACATCATTGATTCTAAATGATGGAAACTTGGTCAGAGTGATGGGCAGCCCATCCAGGGATGTCCTGTATGCTGACTCCCAGTCTTTCATTTACTTTGTCCATTGTAGGAAATATCTTAATGACCACCAAGCCAGTAGCCAGTAGAAGGAAAGAAGCTGCATCCCTATATTATTGCTTAGAGTATGATCTAGTACATTTGATTGGGATTTACAAAATCCTAAGTAAATTTCACTTATATTAAGGTCGTGACAACTCCATCAATTACATTAGACTAGCAGTTAATAGTGATTTAATCAATGGAGATCTTGTTACCAGATATACGTTATGTACTGCAATCACAAAAACTCAACATGTGTGGTACTAGCATTCTTGCTTAGTGAGGAAACCAGTACTGAGGATCAAAATAAGAACAACCAGTTCTACTGATAGTGCAGATCAAGGAGAGGTGAACTTTTTCTCTCAGAACTAGATAGTAAATATAGGCTTATGGATCTTATAGCCAATTCTCAATTACTGTTTGCTACTGTAGGACAAATTCAGCCACAAATGCAATGTAAACGAATCAGTGTAGCTACTTTGCAATAAAGTTTCATTTACAAAGCAGCTTGTCACCTTTACTGAACCTTTTGCATAGGGAATTGGTCTTGCAGTTTGTTATACCTTATCTGTGAAAATGTTCTAGCTTCTGTCTTACAATAACCTCCCCAATGAAAATTTTAAGCAACAAATTTCTTGAATAAACTTGTACTATAACCTTATTATAATAAAACAATGCTAAAGAGATTTGCTGTAGATTAGTATAATTCTATTTAAAATATTAATGATGTTGAAATATTTTCAAATAAGTCACCATGAAAACAACATGCATATAATGTCAGGATAAAATTGATTTACAAAAGAAACTCCCCATCCCAAAGCCAAAGTTAACAGAAAGACAGTGACCAGCTACACTAAAAAAAGGAAGTGACTGAAACTAGATTAGAGACACGGAAATAACATACTGTGGCCTCAGTGACCTCCCCATTTGAAGAGTGAGATACTCTTGCTAGAGAAACTTCATTTCTTCCCAAAGCATCCTTAGGAGAAGCAGTGACCACTGTGGTCCTGAGCAAGCCTCCAGGTGTTGTGGGAACAAGAGTTCATCCTGGAAGGTAACAGAAATAGACTGTCAACTTTTTCTTGTGCTTTTCTCCCTTTGAACTAAGCATCCAATTATCAATGTAGTGGTCTAGTATGTGATGTTTTACAGTAACAGAAAGCAGTGATGAAAAGCATAGGCTTTAGATCAAAATCCTTTGCTGCTTCACTAATGTGTCCCACAGAAAGTTACTAGGTTCTATATAATTTCAGCTCCTTTAAATTTGCAGTTGAGAAAATTATGAAAAGCACTTAGGCCCTACTATGTCATCGTTATCATTTAGTTCAAAGTATGTTACTTTAGTATAAAGGCAAAAGTGTTTTCACAAGTTCTGGAGAGAGGACATTTTCCTGTGAAATTCACCTGGTGCTTTATTGATATGCTTGATCTTGCACTCTATGGGAAGTAAATGTTTTTTTGTTTTTTAATTTCTAATTTATTTATCAAGAGGAATGGTCTTGGAATTACGGAAGATAATAATGCATACTGAAAATGCCCAGCTTACTGGGATAAGGTAATATCTCCTTGTGGCTTTGTTTTTTTTGTTTTTTTGTTTTTTTTTTCTGGTACCAGTGATCAAACTCATGCCTCACATTTCCAAGAAGGCACTTATTCCACAGAGATAAATCCCCAGCCTTGTTTGATAATTATTTGATAATTAGTGGTGGTTAGCAGTTTTACGTATCTCTTTGCCATTTGTATGTCTTCTAAGAAATGTCCATTTAGATCCATCGCTCATTCTTAACTTGAATGTATTTCTGTTGAATTGAGCTCTTTGTATTTTGGAAATATTAACCCTTGAGGATGAATAGTTCATAAATATCTTCTCCTGCTATGTGGGTCAGCTTTTCACTATGTTGGTTGTTTCCTTTGCCATATAGAAGCTTTTGTTTTCTACGTGCCTATTCATTTTTGCTTTTGTTTCTTGGGAGTTTTTGAAGTCTTACCTCCCAAAATATTTGCCCATTAGAATAATGATTTCATTCATGTAGATTCATAGTGGTAGGTCTCACATTTAAGTTGTCAGTCTGTTTTGAGTTCAAATTTATATATAATGGGAGATATCCATCTTCTCTCATTCTTCTACATGGGAATATCAATTTTGTGAGCATCATTTATTGAAAGGACTATTCTTTCTTTAATGCATGTTTTAGCGCTAAATACCAGTTGACTATAGATGCACTGGCTCTCTTTCAGCTGTCTATTGTTTCATTGATCTGTGTGTCTATTTTTATGCCAGTCCATGTTGTTTTCATGGCTATCGCACTGTAAGATATTTTGAAGTTTGAAATATAGTAACATTTTTCTTATTGGTTTTATTCAGCTTTGCATTGAATACTTAGATTTGCTTGTTTCTTTTTTTCT